TGTGTCCTGCTATCTCAAGTATTTATCCACCAGGGTTGGGATATCTGTTGAAGTGTCTATCTGCCTAGGCTGAGAGCTTCTGGAGAGATCTGTCTTTTCATCTCTACTTCTCTGTACCCAGCACAGGGTCTAGTTCATTAATTTCCTGTTGCTCTGACTTTGCCTTGGGTCTTGTCCCCTAACTTGAATGTAAACTCTTTGAAGGCAGAGTCTGCCTCTGACTTTTATACCCCTTCAGCCCCTGTGTCTGAGCCTGTCCTATAATAGCCTCTCACTGAACATTGGTTGAATCAAAACAAATCAAGACGACTAGCTGAATCATTATAGAAGAGGTAATACGGAGATTCAGTAATTGTCACAAGTCACCCAGCCTTGTTGCAGTCCACTCATGATCAGGTGAGAATGGGTCAAATGCAGCTCTCATTCATTATGGTTTACCAGCTCTGAGAGCGCAGCCTACCTACCAGGTGGAATTGAGTACTGTGAATGACATAGCGCACACATATGAAAAAAGGTCAAATTCTGCTTTCTTTCAGACCCATCAAAGGGGGTTCTTATTGATACTGAAAGTTACTTTGGAATGAACAGAGTAGAAGCATGAAATATTGAGCTGAGAAATAAACCCCTCCTTATTGGTGAAAATATCCCAGACCACATGACCCTGCTCTTATGTGGGTCATCCAGAAGCATTCAAATATACTTCCTGAATCGTGGCCTTTGCCCACAGTGAACACTGAAATAGTAGGATGGACCACCTCCACTCCCATCAGCTGACGTTTTGATGGTTCTTCTACTCATCTCAAGATCTCACAGACCTTTCTTGATAATCTTAATTTTTTCTAATTTAATATTTCCCAGATTTTTATTTATTGTTACAGAAGTACTACATGTTTAAGGTAAAATTGAAAGTCTGTCTTCATCTTCCCCATTTATGCCCCACCAATCTCTCTCTCTCCCTTTCCTCTCTAAATGTGATCTCTATTAACAGTTTGGTGTAGGGACTCCTAGACCATTTTAAAAATGTGATTTAAATAAATCAATATACACAAGTATACTATACCTGTGTGTAATGTATAATACACATAGGTATATTTTACATAAATGTGATCATACTATACATATTATCACGTGACTTGCTTTTTTCACTTAATATATTTTGTAGATTTACCCCCATATGTTCTACTCTTTTTCCCTAAGCATATAGTATTCTGTAACAGGGGCCAGTAAACTATGACCAGCAGGCCAAATCTGGCTTACTTTCTGGTTTTGTAAATAAAGTTTTGTCGAAAGACAGCTTTTGCCCTACAATGGCAGAATTCAGTAGTTGCGACAGAGACCTACAGATTGCAAAGCCTAAAATATTAAGTACCTGGCCCTTTACAGAGAAGTTTACTGACCGCTCTTCTATACTATGACTATATGATCATTATTTAACTATTCCATGTGGAAGGATAACTAGGTTTTTCTCATTTTTTTCCTCTTATAAATAACGCTGTAATGAACATCCTTGTACGCATATTCTCATACACATGTATGAGTCTTTCTGCATAGTAGATTTCCAGAAAGTGGAATTTCTCTGACCATGCCTTTTTATTTTCATTGGTTCTTTTGTAGCCAGTTTTTCTACATACATGTAGGCTTTACTTATGCTTAGAGATTATAGTACAACTTAGGGTTTATTGTTCCTTTGAGTTTCTGTTTGACCCATTAGAGAGCCTGTATTTATAAGCTATAGGCAGAAACATGTTCAGCGGATGGAAAGACAGAAGCTGCAGGAGAGTAAAATGAAGAAGCCCAGATTTTAGTGTCAAAAAAACTTGGGGAAAAGAAATCCAGCTGTGACCAACAGCACAGGCAAGTTAATTTTTCCGAGGTTCAGTTTCTGCATTTGCAAAATTATCATGAAATTGAAAGCTAATGATGTTTAATGTCCAGCAGAGTTTCTATACATATTATCATAACCATTATTATACATTTCTACTAATATGAAGAAAAAGAAGGAGATAGGAAGAGACGAAAGACGTTAACATACATTGAACTCCTACTATATGCCAGGTACTCTGCATTCATCCATTTATTCTTCTGAGACAGGTTATAGTCATAGTTTATTTCCTGCTCATTTTCTGCCTTTGTGCCTTTAAGGCACATGCTAAATGGTATGCCAAGGGTGATCAATAAATGCCATGGTAACATAGTGGAGGGAACAACTAAGTCTGTCCAGAGTAATCAAAGAAGGCCACATAGAGGAGGCAACTTTTAAGTTGGATCTCAAAGGCTAAGTAGGAGTTTGACAGGCAGAGACAAGCAATAATTTTATTATCTATAACATAAGAGGCTTAAATTGTTCTCTTGGAACTTTTAGCCAACTCTAAATATTTTTGTTCAGCTAACTTTTCCTTTTTAGAAAATTAAAACTGTATCTCACC